TCAGGCCTGGCAGGATCTCTGGTTGGGAAGGTCTGCCTGCACAATCCCAGGCTTTTTCCCACTGGCTGCTCAAGGGGTGGGAGTATTGTCAGACCCCAGCCCTAGGCTAGCACTTTGAGGCAAGGGACAGTGTCCAGTGCATACATCTGTTGATGATACAGAGCTTTTCAAACTCCCTCCCGGCTTCTTTATACTGTCTGCAGCAAACTGACAGGCAAGCAAGGCATCGGAGGGCTGATAACAGTGTTTATCACCCCATCAGCAAAACAACAGCCTCTCTCCATTAGTTTAAGCTCTTCTTAAACAGCTTTTTCCAAAGAACCATTTTACCAGCTGACCTGTTGATTAGCTCCAAAAAACCCTAAGTTCTGTCTGGCTGTTTGGGTGAAATTGGAGATGCACACAGACTCCTATCAGCATTAGCTAGCATACCATGTGCCTAGGGTCCATAGCGCTTGGGTCTACGCTGTGGGAGATGGGAGGGAGGGAGTAGGATGGGATCCCTGCTTGAGCAGTGAGGGAGCGGGGGAGGGTGAAACCAGGCAGACCCTGCTGTGCCTGCAGTGTTTGCCGGAGTTCTGGCCGGGGAGCAGAGGGGCAGGGCCAGCTTTGTCGTCTGGAGCAGAGAGCCCAGCCCAGAGAACATGCCAGGATGCTGGGAGAGTCTGGTTGAACTTAAATCAGCAAGGTGTCTGGGACAGACATTGCATAAACCAGTTTGACCCAAATCAGTTAAGTCTGACACTACATTCAACCAGGTTTATCTTACACCAGTTTCAGCCATTTTTAAACTGGTTTATGTGCACCGAACTTATGTACTGTTACAGGTTTAAACCAGTTTCTGATCATTTAAACCGGTTTATGTCTAATGTCTAGCCTGGATATACAGGTTTGGTATTCCCTCCACCCCAGAGCTGGAGAGAAGCATGGGGAGCAAAGAGAAGAAACTGAATTGTATTTAATCTAAGGAGAACAACTGACATTTTGGAATCGTTAAGGGAAATTTGAAAGAACAAATGAAAGTGTATTTAAGCTTTCTTTCCTCTGGAAATATGCAGAAAAAGCATGCCAGCTTCCAAAAGTGTTAGGCATATTTCATTATATTTACTACTACAGCATAACCAGGAAAACTATGTCTTCATTCCTTAGCAATAAAAGCATTCTAACAAGAACAATGCCAGCAGAAGAGAAGTGTGGCTGGGCTAAACTTCATCATGTCTCTGCCAAATCCATTAGGTATAGGTAGGCACAGCCCACTCTACCAGCTTATATATGAGCTTCCTTATACACAACTTCTGTCTGTTAAGTAGTTGTAACCAATCTGTAGCTCCTTAAATGGTGTTGGGATAATGGAGACATTACCAACAACAATTTGTTCTGTAACACTAAGTCTTTCACAGTCTCATTTATTCTTCAAATATGTCTATACACACGCATAGATGCATACACACAGACATATACATCTTGACATCCACATCCACACATGTCATCTATTATCATGTGCATATACACACACACATATACATAGTCACACATCCTCCAGTAGATATTGGAAGCATATTTTGCTTAACATTTCTGTTCATTCAGGATAGCATTTGAAATTCTGGTTATACCAGGAATTCTAGTTCTATAATCAGTTGGTAGATTTATTCTGTGATCTTTTATATCAAAACCCATGCTTGCTATAATACTTTTTAAATAAACTCTGTTTGATTCTATTTCTTCTTGAAGAGACAGACAATTACTATATGTCCTCTAAAGGAACTGAAAATATGCCAAACTGTTTGAATTACTTTCAGTAATTGAATATAATATCCACTAAATATTATGTTTGATATTGTCTTTTCCCCAGTTTAAGTAGCTAAAGCAGATTTGGACATAAAGCTACTAGAAAGAGAATAGTGTCTTGGTATGCTCAATAGCACGCTATTTTTGTCTAGGTAGTGTATTTGTTCCTACAGTAACTAATAAACATTTTAATTATTGATGTGATCCGAACAATCTTGAATCTAAGTGTAAAGAAAGAAATATATATCTTTTTCTTTGTTAATGTCTTTGCTCAAACATACAGATGAAATGCAAGTGGAAATGAAAACGCATCCTACCATTCTCACTTGCATTTAGAATTCTATTACTGTGTTTGTTGAAAGAATGTCACAGATTTCAGAAAAGCACACTATGAATTAAACTTTATAGATTTTATTGGTTTTTTTCTCTTTCTATTTTTTACTCTATTTTTTGCAATACCGTATTCTTAAAGGCTTGGAAATATAATTTTCTCCCTACTAATGCTGTCTTTTTCTATTAGGCAAACATTGATTTTTTTTCCTGTGTTCAGAATGGACATAAAATTGTCTCGGATATTTTGTGTTTAACATCAACAACAACTTCATTTTAAATGGGACTAATACAGGTTTTACAATAATAAGAATAACACTGTAGATCACAAAAGCCCTGACCACTTTCTTAGTAAAGTCTATCCCATTTTAAGTTTGGGTTAGATAGAAAATGTACAGGCTGGTGTTACTAACATGTAGCATGCATCACCACCATCCAAGGAGCCCAATCAAGAATGAACAGTGATTCCCAACCAGCATTCACTTCCTGGTTCCTCATGTTATAAGGAGATAGTCTGCTACTCATTTACCCTACACTGGTCCCAAATTAATTTCTCTTCTATGCCAGTCCAGCTCTGCTCCCCAGCCCACTGGCAAACTGACTTCCCCTTTTCTTATCATTTCACTTCGGCACCACACTTGGCAAAGGGCTTGCTTTGGAAACCAGCAGCAAGAAAAGGATACATATCCAGGTTGGAACCTTCACTCTCAAACTTATTTGTTATGTTATTCTGTCTGGTTTTATAGGGCATGGACTCTGTTCTCAAGATCAAATGATCCACTAGGGAATGGGTCCTGGGATATTTCATGCAGGTGAATCATGCTGCCCTGCAGCTGCACAGAATTTGGGAAAGCGTCTTTTCTTTCTCTGTTATAGGTAGTCAGGGAAGAGCACTTTACATCAAACTCCCTTGGTGTCACTCACCTCTCAGTAGGACTATGATAGATTTTTGTTGGTTCAACATACAAAGAAGGTGTACAGGAAGGCCTTGACTGACAAACTGGTCTGAAACTTAGCTGTAGAAGAAGATACTGTTTCCCAGCCTATTTGGATGGGGGCCAGTTCTTGTAGCACAGCACAAGGCCACAAATCTCACTGAAGTCACATGCAGTAAAACTTTTTAGCTAAATTCTTAATATGGCCTGGTCTACAGGCTTGAGTGGAAATCCTGAGTAAGAAAGAGGGGGAACAGGTGCCGTGGTATTTTGTTTTGCTTTTATGGGTAAGTGATTCCTTTCATTTAAAATACAAGAAAAGGGAAGTGGCTGTCCCCTCCTTATTCAGGTTTAACCCTTTCATAACTCTACTTACTTCAAGGTAGTTTCTCCTAGTTTAAGCAGAATACATTAACAATGGGAGTATTATAGTATCTGTCTAACTGTTAAAGCACTTTTGGAAATTTCTACTGGAATTCATAAGATAATCATCTTAATTCAGTATTGACTTCTGGGCTAAAGTCTAAATATTAAATGTTTATTTTGTTCTAAGATTATTATATGATATTACATCTACGCTTATTTTCCTAGGTTCATGGCTGTACTTCATGTTTCTATCTAAATATATATATTCACTAGTTTATAAAGGGCAGACACCCATTCTGCAGCATATTTGTTCTTATAATTATATCTTAAAAATACACTGCAAGAAGGCTGGGAAACACTAACGCTCAGGGTGCATTAAAATCAGCAACAGGAACAGTTGGAACTTTTTAAGAAATCCTTTTAAATGTAATTAAAGCATGAAAGAAAGCTGACAAGATGCTGTTTATTATGACCATTTAAGGTTTGAAAACCAGTGCATTGCCCAGCTTGTACAAAACAATGCATCCAGTGTTAGGGCCAGGAAACATCAATCAGGTTTTATGATAACTACTTGGATGTCACACTGTATAGCATGTGTATACATATCACATATTTTATTTTTTATATATACGCACATGTGTTGTGCGCGCGCGCGCACGCACACACACACACACACACACACAATATAAAGAAACAAGCATGTTAAGATTACATATATAACTGGTCATCTTCCACACAGCAGACTTACTGTTTGGTTTATTTAATTCCATTTCCCTTCATGTTGTTCCTGTGAAAGCTAGCTGCCAGATGAACTCATGAGGAGGCACCAACACATAAGTTACTCATGAAGGTGCGGCTCACACAGCAGCTACTAAGCCATGCTGGGCCATGAGATTCTGGCTCTCTCTGGTGCCATTATCTGGTCCCATTGTAGGAGTATAGAGCACCATAATATTCACTTTCATCACACAAATTTATGCAATTTAAAAGCAAGAAACAAAGATCGTGCTCACAGACTCCATGAGATAGCAATCCAAAGTTATCTGTGAGTAACCATGGGAACTGAACTCCTATATTTCTTCAAATCTAATATATAAAGTGTTATCATAACCTCACTTATGTGTAACCTCAGCAATTATGTCAAGAAATTAGACAATTTTTGTTGCTGAACCAACTCTCAAACTGATTCTAATTTCACTGGAAGTTTTCTTCTGTTAAAAACAGCTGGAGACATTTGTTATTGAATCCTGCTCTTTTGACAGAATTTTATTAAAAGAAATTGATTTTAGTAGCTCCCACTATTACATTCTGCTGAATGATATAACATAGTATTTCATTTACTTTCCTGATTTTTGGAAAGAATGAAATTTTTTTTTAAAAGCTGCCAATTGGGATATGCAATTTTCCCACTATCATTGGTTTAAAAAGGCTGGTTTTACAGTCAGGCACCACTATGTTTGAAACTGTATTAAAAAGTAAACAAAATAAACAAATTTAGTTAAAAATATTCTTTTGAGGATTCAATTTTTTTACAACCAAACACAACAATATGTTACATTACATTTTAAGCAGTGTGTTTACCTTTCACCGAGTGTCTTCAACAGCTGTGTCAACGTTGAGTGCAATAGCTTGGTTCTAAAAAAATTAACACAAAATGTTTATTTAAAAAAAAATGTCCATAATCACACCAAATAACACAACGTGTGGGCTGCAAAGCAGAGTGCTGGGAGCAATATTATTCATGTTTAAAACTACTGCCTGATTTTGCCTCCTTTTAAAATTACGATACTACAAATAACAGCCCAGAGGAATTATCAATTGCAATTTTTGTAATGCAAAAAGCATTTGGGATTCAAACTACAGAAGAATTGTAAAATATACAACAATTAAAACTAACATTTTATAGCTTAACATTTCCCTTTCCTTGGATGTGAATACTTATGTTAGAAAACAGACACATACCATAATAATTATTTCAAACACTCAAAACAGCTTTTCTTTTCGTATACAATATGCACCCTTCTAATAAGTCAACATCTTTAGTTCAGTGGGTAGTTTTTTTCATTATCGGGAAGCATTGTTGTGTGGGTAAAGTGATGGTGGTTGTGAATTGCTAACTTCATAAAAAATCTTTCCCCACAAATTACTTTTTGATTGATTCAGACATTAAGGCTTATTAATCTATTTTTTAAAAAGAGATGTCAAATTAGTGTCCCATGAGACTACTGCAGCATTTTGTTATCTTATTTACCAGAACATTCACATTTTAGGGGTTTTTCTTTTTGCGTGCTTTATCAGGACAGCCGATAAAGGGAATACTCCCTAGAAAAACAACTTAATAACAAAGCCAGAGAAAAAAGTATTGCAGAGATATTATCAACAGCTTTTTATATGATAAATTATGAACAGTATACACCATTAAAAAGTCAGCATTTTACCATAGACTTAGAATGCAAAATAATGGAGATACCTCTTTGTGGTAGCTGCAGGCAAATGTAAACTGTTATAATGGCAACCAAAGGGACGGAGATGCAATGAGAAACTCACTCCTATGCAGAGGGTCACTAGATGACATATGCATCACTTGCGACCCACTTTAGTTCTGATTTTTACTCACACTGTTCTATATAGTACAAGACAATATCCTATTGAATACTTTCTGGTACTGGCATCAGAGCAAAGGTATGTTCCCCTTTGTAAGCTACAGTTAATACACATGCATCATATTTATATAAACCAGTGATTTATATAGACTAGTATTTTGAAAAGTGACTACCATATTTCTCTGAATCCAAGATGACTTTGAATTTAAGACAACCCTCCAATAATTGGCCTCTGTACATTGAAACTGTATACATTTTTTATAATTTTCCATGTACAGAACATAACTAATGGTGGGTTGCCTTAAATTCACCCCCCACAACTCCTGCAGCAGGGCAAGCAGCAGCAGGGGGGCAGGTGGTAGAGGGAGTCAAGTGGCCTCTCCCCCCCACCATTTGCCCTCCTTGCTGTCTGCTCCTGCCAGTGTCAATGCACCCAGCCCCTGTCCCTGTGTCACTTGTCCTACTTCCTCCCTGTGACTACATCTGCTGGCACCTGCACCCCCACAACTTGCTGCCCCTATTGTCTGGGGCAGAGCTAATAAATTAGGCACACATTTAGGGGTGTATGAAGCCTTTTGTAGAAAGAAAAAGATTGGTACCCCCTCCTTGGCTCCCCAAATATTATAATGTAAGGTACCTGATGTGATGCCAAAGCCATCCTATCAAGCTTAGAGGGTTGAATGGATTTTGGGGATGAAAGGATAGCTGGTCTCCCTGAGATTTCAGTTCTTCCTGCGCTGAACCTTTCCATTAAGCTATTCAAGAGGGATGCGGAGAATCTTGAGAGGGTCCAGAGGAGGCCACTCATATAGTTAGAGGCCTGCAGGGAAGGCCCTACAAGGACAGACTGAGGGACCTAGATCTCTTCAGCCTGCGCAAGAGAAGACTGAGAGGTGATCTTGTGGCTGCCTATAAATTCATCAGGGGAGGGCAGCAGGGAATAGGAGATTCTTTATTTACTAGGGCACCCCCTGGAGTAACTAGGAACAATGGCCACAAATTGACAGAGAGCAGATTTAGGTTGGACATTAGAAAGAACTTCTTCACAGTCAGGGTTGCCAGACCCTGGAATGGCTTTCCACAGGGGGTGGTGCTGTCTCCTACCTTGGGGGTCTTCAAGACAAGACTGGACAAGCACCTAGCTGAGGTCATCTGACCCCAGCACTCTTTTCTGCCCAGGGAAGGGGGTTGGACTCAATGACCTACTGAGGTCCCTTCTGACCCTATCATCTATGAATCTATGAATCTGTTATGCCAAACTAGCGGTATCACATTGGCTTGTTTTGCAATTCAGGCTTGATCAATGTAACGTGCTCCACTTAGGATAGCAATGGGTCAGTCAATCTCATTTCATTTGGTGGGCAGCTAATAAGGTTGAGAAATAAGCACCAAGAAATGAGAGATATCTTTCATCAACTTGGCTAGCCTTGTTTTGTTTTTTTTCCCTAAATGTTAATTTGAAACTGTGAAAACATGATGTTAGGTGGCAGTTTCCTAGGAGGGGATTTAATCATTTCATCTCTTCAGAGTTATGTGTTTCATGCCAAATTGGAACCTGATGTTCAGTAATACTGCTTTTGACACTTCTGTGTTAGAAATGTGAAGATCCCTCCTTGCTCAAGGATGTCTCTGACACTTTTGACACTTCTCTCGCAGACATTGCATGCAGCCCAGATGTTCCCTGCATTAAGCAGGGCATTGCCACAGCTACTACTCAATGCAGAAAAATATAAGGCTCTAGGCATGTAGCAAAGGGCATCTTTTCTCCTTTTAACTGACAGTTTTTTTGGAGGGCAACACCTTTTGATGTGCACAAAAGTTAAAGGATTGAAGCTCTGAGGCTTAAAGGCAATGGACACATTGCAAATTCTCTGACTCTTGCTTTAAAGAAACACAGAGCTACTACCATGAGTTTGTTTCCTTCCTTGGAAAAAAGTATTCCTTACCTATGATATCAGTCATGGTAGCTTCTATTGTACTTGCTAGAAAACTAGACTGGAAGAAAAAGTTGCCAAATACAGAATAAGTATGCAAATAATGAAACTGCCAATCACCAGTGTAATCTTGCAGGAATAGATGATGCCATTGAATTACTTGGACAATCAAAGGAATATAAAGCACATTCCTCCCCCTGCCTCTGTTTGACCCTTCCAGATACTGAATCTAAGTCTAGTGCACAGTTCCTGTTCTGTGTTTAAGCAAGTAGAGTCAAGAGTCTAAAATAAACCTGTATATTCTTGAGCACCACCTACTGGCACATATTCCATTAAGTCTTTTATATTTAATACAGGACTGATTAGAAAACATAATAGGTTAAGGTTTTGTTTATATTCCAATACCTTAAGGTTTTGTTTCATTCCAAAGTGGGGTCAAAAAGTCAAAACATCAAAATTTATCATGGAAATGAAGTAAATGCTGAAAAAATATTCTGAATCCACATTTTGAACAATATATTTTAGTTTTGAAAAGAAAACCCAGAAAATTTTAAAAAAAGTTGCAATCAACATTTTTTTGAAGGAAGGGCTGAGTTTGAAGAATCTCCTCCCTAAACCTTGCATATTTTGATGAAAAAAACAATTTTAGAAAATTTCTGGTCAACTCCATATATTACAAGTGCAGCGATATTGGATCAGCACTGATATAAAGAAAATTGGCTGTACTGGAAATCAGCCTGATGTAGCTGATAATTTGGCCGATAAATGCCTGTGCATGTGTGTAGCCACAGTGCAGCATGTAGGCAGTGAGTAGCACGGTCCAGCAGCTTGGACAACTGCATGCAACTGGTAAGTCTGTTGTGGTGGAAGGGGAGGGCGAAGGGAAGGGGCGGGGGGAGGGGGGGGACAGAACAACGCTCCCCGTGGTGAGGGAGGGAGTTGGGCAGGGGCTGGGGCAGGGCATGAGATGGAGCTGTGGCTCATCTGGTAGGTGTGGCAGCGGGTGGCAGCTCCCACCACTGTGAAAACCCTGGGAGGACATAGTAGGGGGGCACACAGGCTGTAACTGTGGGCTGGAGCCACGGCTGTGCTGGGTTCTTCCCAGCACATGGGGAGGGACTGGGCTGGGGCTACGCTCAGGGAGGGCCGCAGTGCCACTGGGAGGAGGGTTATGGCAAAATTTGGGGTGGCTGCAGCCTCCCCCTTCATAGCCCCCTTTTAGCACTGCTGCTGCCCACCCCAAGAACAGCCCTGGCCTGGCCCAACCCTCCCCCCCATGCACTGGGAAGAGCCTGGCACTTCCCTGGCCCCAGCTTGCAGCTGCAGCCCACCCCTCCTGCACCCCACACAGTTCTGAAGGGCACATGGCCTCCCATATGCCCTTCTAGGGTGCTTGCAGCAGCAGAAGGTGCCCCCCGCCCCTCGCCCCCTGAACTAGCCACAGCTCCATCCTGCGCCCCACCCTGCCTCTGCCCCAGCCCCACTCCTCCCTCACCATAGGGGCCTTGATCTGCCCTCCCCATGCCCCTTCCCTCCCCTTCCACCACAACAGACTTACCAGTTGTATGCACCTGTTACGGAAATTGGATTGGTATTAGCCGATATGCCTCCTTAAAAATAGACTATCGATATCAACCCCCAAAATCTCTGTTGGTGCACCCTTACCATATATAGATGGAATACTCTCCCAATAGCCCTTTCACTCATCTCCATTAAATGTTTGATGGGGAAACATGGAATGATGAGTAACAAATGCTCCTCTGGAAAGGGTCAGCACTGTTTCATGTGTGTTCTGCTGGGAATTACCAAAATAGCAGAAGGGATTTCTGTTTAATGTGACTTCCCTTCCTCTGACCTCTGCTTATTTGTCCATCTTATTTAGTGAGCTTTTGGTGTAGAGTCCATCCTTCTTAAGTATTTGGAAAGCACCTGGCACATAGTGAGTATGACAGTAAATAAATAAGAAAAATAATGAATGCTACTAATAATACTTCTAGCTGCTGCCTAGGCTGACTGCCTGCTTCTTGTAAAAGTCCTAACACCTGCCAGTCTGGTAATAAAGACTGAGTTTAGAATTCATACCGAGACTGTATGTGTGT